ATTAACTGTATTTCAAGGTCACGCAGAAGTAGGAGGCCACACTCCTCTTTGTGGATGTTTTATGGCTCATAAATGAAAAAAGGAATCACAGTTAGACTCCACTGGTAGGCCTCTAATGACTCCAGATGTTAGCTGCCTCCTCATAAAATATACAACCACTACAAAAAAAAAAATACAGAATCTGATCATACTGTGGGCTCTGACTTCCAGAGTAAAGGGAAGAGGGTGAGTCCTGCGGGGACAGTCCAAGGCTGCTCGACACCTTGTGGAAGAAATGAACTGAACCCACCCACCCAGAGGCAGGGGGTGTGATCTTTCTAAGCAGCCTTCTCTCTGTAGCTTAGTTCTTACTGAAGACACTTTAAATACAAAGATGCAGACAAATAGGTGCAAAGTGAGAATATGGAAAAGACACCCAGGCACGCAGGGGCAGGGGCAGCCGGGGTGGCCAGGCAGAGGAAGAGAGGAGACCTCTCCAGACAAGAAGTTCTGAAAACTCAAAAATTCGAGGAAATATTCATGCACAAGGGCGGCCTCTTTGTAGTCCAGGTTTCCCCCACTAGGTGAGTATTCCAGGAACCCATCAGCATCTGTGTACCAGCTGGCATTGTTGGGAGAGGCTGTGTTCGGCTTCAGATAATTGTTTTGTGGCCAACAGGTGACTGGTTCTTCCACCATGACAACGCACCTGCCCACATCCCATTGAGTGTTCAGCTGTTTTTGACCAAAACGGCGTGACCCTCATACCCCACCCTCTCTAATCCCTGCCGTGTGTCCCGTGTACAATGCAATGACATAAAGGTCATTGGCCTCTTGGTTAAGAATCGGGCTTTATTTTCACACACTCCCGAACTGACACAGTCAGACATCAGGCCAAGTCCAAGAGAGGACAGTTACAAATGTCCACTGTGTCCAAGCAGCTTCCTAAAGTCCCACCCAAGGGACTTTTTTTGTTTCTCAGATGAAAAACGTCCTCAGAGGGAAACGCTTTGCCGATATGGAAGAAGAGGTGAAACAAAACTGGCAGAAGCACTAAAAGGCATCGGAATTGATGAGCTCAAAATCTGTTCTGGGCCAGGCTTGGTGGCTCAGTCTGTCATCCCAGCACTTTGGGAAGCCGAGGAGAGTGGATTGCCTGAGCCTGCGGGTTTGAGACCAGCCTGGGCAACTTGGCGAGACCCTGTCTCTACAATAAATCAAAAAATTAACTGGGTGCGGTAGTGCACGCCTGTAATTCCAGCTACTTGGAAGGCTGAGGCGGAAGGATCGCTGGAGCCCAGCAGGTTGATGATGGGGTGGCCATGAGCATGCCACTGCACTCCAGTCTGGGTGGAGTGAGACTCTGACTAAAAAAAAAAAACAAGAACAAAAAACCGTTCTGAGCAGTGGAAAGCATCTCGATAGGTGTATTGCAGCAAACGGGGAGTACTTTGCAAGTGACAAATCTAAACATATAAGAATAAATACAAAGTTTTTTATAAATAAATTCTGGGTTTTTTTTGGTCCCCTCCTCATATATAGGCCTAATAAAAGGGTTCCAAAATAGCCAGGTGGTGGCTCATGCCTGTAATTCCAGCATTTGGCAGGTCAAGGAGGGAGGATCGATTGAGGCCAGGAGATTGAGACCAGCTTGGGGATGGCATAGTGAGACCTCATCTCTACCAAAACAAAACTGGCTGGGCATGGTGGCGCAGGCCTGTAGTTCCAGCTACATGGGAGGCTGAGACAGGAGGGTCACGAGCTCAGGAGGCCAAGGCTGTGGTGAGCTATGATCACACCACTGCACTCCAGCCTCGGTGACAGACTGAGACCCACTAAAGAAAAAAAAAGGTTGGGGGAGGGGGGACTCCAAAATACAGGATGGAAAAACTGATAGAAATAAATGACGAAAGACACAAATCCACAAGCACAGTTGGGGTTTTAACACACTCCTCTCGGTAATCGTTAAAGCAACCAGACCAAAAAGAAATTGTAGAGGAACTAAAAGGATGTGTCAACCAACTATACAAAACTGGGAACAAGGGACCAAGGACTCTAAAGAAGTGTGGAGGGTTGGTGAGGCAGTGATCTAGTCCACGTCTCCAAGTACTGCTCAAACCAGTGGACTCAGCACAGGTGTGTCAGACTTGAGGCAGAAGAAAGGAGAGCCCGGCAGACAGATGTGTCCCGGTGGGTGCCGTGGTGGCGGAGGAGGGGTCCGTCTCTGACAGACAGGCTGGCAAGCCCCAGAGTCTCCAAGCCTTCTGCACATGGATGGTCTCATTCCGTCCTTCCACTGTCCTTTGAAAAGGACAGCCCCCACCTCCTTATCCCCATTTTACAGAAGTAGAGCTCAGAGGCTGACCTGCCAAAGAAACAAGGCTGGAAGTCTGCTAAGTCAGAAGGGTGGGCTTTTCTTTTCTTTTTCTTTTTTTGCATCAGGGTCTCACTGTCACCCAGGACAGAGTATGGTGACACAATCAAAGCTCACTGCAGTCTCAACCTACTGGGCTTGGGCGATCCTCCTGCCTCAGCCTCCCGAGTAGCCGGGACTACAGGTGTGTGCTACCACACCTGGCTAATTTTTTGATTTTTTGTAGAAATGAGGTCTCACTATGTTGCCCAGGCTGGTCTCCAACTCCTGGACTTAAGCAATCCTCCCACCTAGGCCTCCCAAAGTGCTGGGATTACAGGTGTGAGCCACCACACCCAGCTGAGTAGGACACATTTTAAAGATCATCCTAAGTGCAGTGAAGGAGCAACTATTTTCTTTCTTAAAAGTCAATTTTCCCCAGTGTGTCCAGTGTACAATGCAATCACATAAACGTCATTGGCCGCTTGGTTAAGAATCGGGCTTTATTTTCACACACTCCCAAAATGACATAGTTAGACATCAGGCCAAATCCAACAGAGGACAGTTTCAAACATCCACTGTGTCCAAACAGCTTCCTAAAACATTCCTTGGTGGACTCCCTGGCAAACTCAGTAGTGACCATGCTCCCGGGTACCCATAACAAGTTATTAAGTTGCAGCTTAGAGACAAATTCAAAGCAAGCAGTCTACAGAAAATATGCAAATATACTCTTCTAGTTAGCAAAACACAGACTTTATGGATCTCATTACAGGATTCAGAGGATAAATCCTAGAGTAAAATGACTTTGTTTCTTGGCTTGAACCAAAATATGTGGGGGTTTTTAATAATTAGAAAACTTTATTGAAGAGCTTAAGAAACAATGAAAGTATAGATATTGAATCTTCAAAAATTCCTCCGGTAGTCTATGACAGCTAGCTTCACAGTCACTTACGAACTTATATTGTCTTAGATTTCTTAATATTCACATCTGCCTTCTGCTCTTTGTACATTCTTTTTGTGTTTATGTCTAAAAATAAATATACAAATAAATATACTCTGGGTTTAGATTGGTCCTTTAAACACTGTATATAAGTTTTATTAATATTTACACCCTCTCCGGATTCCACTGAAGCCTGTGTTCTCCCAGGAATACGGGGACTGAGTCATTAAGGCTAATGGTAGTTTAATGCAAGGAAAAGCTACATGCATACCAAGGAGTTTTCAGTTTCTTGGCAAAACACAAAAGGGGAAATGATTTGGCTTTTTTAGTTCCAATTGTTTCCAATTTTTCATGTAAGGTTTTATGTTGTAAAACCTTTTCAGATTTTCTCAGAACCTGAGTTAATAAAACACAGAGGTAAGTCACTACTTTCTATTTAAAGCAAACTGGCTTTTTACAGATCCTTTATTTAAAAAAAAAAAAATAAGCCAGTGGGTTCTTCCGCCAGGTAGTGCAGACCAGGTGCACGCCTCCCACGTAGACATGTAGGCTCCACAGCACACACAGGCCTGCCATGAGCCGGTCATGCAGCAAGGCTGGCCTGACCACTCACACACACTGATGGAGCAAGTAAACAGAACAGCCCAAGTACCCTTGGTGGCTTCTTTCTCTTTGGAATCAGTAACCGCGAAGTGAAGGCTCCACAGCCCATGACGCCTCTACGCTCTGCGCACCCCCCCCGCCCCAGTGACGAGGGGGCGTGGGGCGAATTACAGGACCCCCACGTCTCAATGTGGTGGCGAAGGCAGGCAAGAAACCCAAGCCCGGAAGTGCCCAGGCCCAGATTGGCCACCTGACAATGCTGAGGCCATCTGAGCGCACAGGTGACTTCCAGCAAGGACAAGGCCGTGGGACCCTCACTTTGCTTTTACAGCAGTAGACTATGGGGGGTGAGCCTCTCCATGTGGCTAGAAGATGCAGCACGCACGCGGTTAAGCCTGAAAATAACCAGGGAGCGGCGCCGACATGAGCACATGTGGCAGCAGGGACATGACTGACACGAGGTCAGGCAGAACAGATCTGACGCTGATGCTGACCTCAAACAGGGTGGAAATTCCGACTGCATGGGAGTAAAAACCCCATGGGTTAGGAATGCAGACCACCCCAGAGGACGCCACGGCCCCCAGGGCTGCCACAAGGGTCTTCTGGACTGTGGCACTGACATGATGCTGACCATTGACCGGCCATCAGCTCCAATGACCGATAGAAGTTTCTCACCAAGACTGCATGTTGGCATCAAAAATATTAATCTGCAGACCACAATCATAAAACTGACAACGCCATGTTATTTTGTCAATGTGTGAGACAGAAAGCACAGGGTCCTTAATTCTAAAAAGGCCATTGACCATCTCAGACACCACGTTTCCAAAAATCAAAACCATCTGAGAAAACCCGCAGGCCAACAAACAGGCAATCCACACGAGCTACAAGAAAACGGAGGCAGCGCCGATGCAGCTCACTGTGCACGGAGACACGCAGTCGCCCACGGGCATGGGTGGGGGGCTCTTTGGCTACTTGCCTCAACAGGTCTCAACCCTTACGAAGGTGCACATGCCCAGAGGGGCGGCTTCGGCACTGAGCAGCACAGGAGCATCCCCGTCACAGCCCCTGCAGCCACCAGCGCCACGAAGGACCGCCCGCGTCCTGGAAGTCCTGCCTGAGGCCCCGCTAGCCTTTGGAGCCCGGCTTCAGGCTGGCAAACACTTTGGGGTTCTTGAGAGCGAGCGAGAGCTCGTTGAGGAAGGAGATGAAGTGGGAGTCCCGCTCCGACTTCTTGGACTCGAAGATGACGACGAGAGTGAAGTGCGGCTCGGGCCGGGTGAGGAAGTAGGTGCTCTGGGCCTTGTCGTCGTAGAAATGCACCACCTTCTCCAGGCTGCTCAGGTCGGCCGTGCGGCCCGTCATGAGCATGATGACGTTGGGCCAGTGCAGGGCCGGCCGGTCGCCAGGCAGGGACACCACGGCGGGGTACTGGTCTACGCCCTTGGGGGCCTCCCGGTAGGAGTGCGGGTGGTGGTAGCCGTGGCCCTGGAAGCTCTCTGAGCCGCGGTTGTCGAAAATCAAGGACACATTGGCAGCGTCGTACTTCCTGATGAAGCTGGAGATCTTCCCAAAGAGGTCCGGGTTGGCCTTGGCGGTCAAAGCCTTCATCTCGGAGGCCGTCGTCTGCCGGCTCAGGGCCTCGTGGAAGTAAAAGCTGAACTTGGCGAGCAGCATGTTTTTGAGCCTCACCAGCCAGAGGAAGAGGTGGGGAGGCTGCACGGCCTTCTGGGACTGGCCCCCGAACAGGTGCTTCTTGGTCTCCCGCTGCTTCTCGAAGACCTGGCCCCAGGCCTGCAGCTTGGCGTGCGCACTGTGCAGGCTCACCAGCGACGGCAGGAACTTCCACTCGGAGACCTGCGCCTGGGCCTTCAGCAGGTGGCTCAGCACGTCGGCCTCCAGCTGGAAGCTGCTCTCCAGCGGGCTGAGCATCGGGTGGTGGAACCTGGGGGAGAGGACAGGGCGGTCACTGCACGTGCAGGGACGGGTGGCCCGGCGGCGATGGGCTGTGGAGGTGGGGGCAGGAGGGACGCCAGCCGGGGGTGCCAGCACGCGCCGCAACATCTCAGCATCGCCTGCTCCTGTGCAAACAGCCAGCGTGGAAAGAAACGCCAGTCGTGGCTGCCTCCTTCACAACAACAGAAACACGACATCAGCCGTCCTTCCCGCCACCCCCATCGATTCTGGGAGTCACGGGACTAACATGATCACCAGGACCCACATCCTCCCCCGGGGAGTGGTCTGAAGGGGCAGAGGTGAAAGCCGCATCTCGGAAGCATCCATGGAGTGCATGCGTGACACACGTACACTCGTGTGATGTTCACTGCACTGCCACGAGGTATTGTAAACCTATTTCACAGATGAGAGTACAGACCGTAAATCTATGTCTGAAACACAAGAGGTAATCAATAAGTGTTTCTCTTTTTCTTTTTTTTGAGTCGGAGTCTCAGTCCATCGCCCAGGCTGGAGTGCAGTGGCACGCTCACGGCCACCACAGCCTCCACCTGCTGGGCTCAGTTGATCCTTCTGTCTCAGTCTTCCAAGTAGCCGGAACTACAGACATGTGCCACACCCAGCTCATTATTGATTTCTTGTAGAGACAAAGCCTCGCCAAGCTGCCTGGGCTGGTCTCCAACCTGCAGACTTAGGCAATCCACTCGCCTCAGCCTCCCAAAGTGCTGGGATGATATAGCTGAGCCACCGAGTCCGGCCACTAAGTGTTTCTTAAGAAAATAAAGCATGTACCAGACAGCCCTGATTCAATCCTAGCTCCCAAATTCCTTGCATGTTTAATCCCAGCTACAAACAAAACGGTGGCCAGACAAGAAAAGGCCAACACTCCAATCACTCCCTATTCATCTTAGGACAAAACCCCAAATGCATGAGAAGGTCTCCAGGGCGCTGAAGTGTTACAGGCTGAAAAGAGACCATTTTGGTTATATTCAGTGATTTAGAAAAGACTTGGGAACTTGCATTAAGCTGACTTGGGCTAAACATTGAAGCTGTTTGAATTTAACAATGAATGCTTTTTCAGTCTCCCACGTCACTGTCCTCGATCTAGTAACTGTGGCTGGGACTGGAGGGAACACAGCCATCTGCATGGAGCCCCTGACAGCAGGAGACACATGCAAGAAGACTGCACATCCCTGGGAAAGCCTCTGCCAGACCCAGATGAGAAACGGGCTCTGCTGGAACTTTCTCAAATCCAGAAACGTTTCTGTTCCCTAAGTCTCCAGATGACAACGGCTTTCTTTCACATCTTTGTATTAATTTTATGTATAACATTTAACCAAGCCTTGAGAACCAGAACTCCTGGAATAAGCAAAAAACTGTAATCACATAGAGAGCATGCAGTCCCAAGTCATTCAAGGTCATTGTCACTTAGAAGAACGGCAGGACTGATGTCTTCTGAGCACTGGTTTGCAACAGCCACTGTTTGGGTCTAAACCTTGATTAAGAAAGAAACAGCACCTAAATTTCTCAACCAACTCATCTTCGACAAAGCCTCCAACAACAACCACTGGGGAGAGGAGAACCTGTTCAGTAAATGGTGCTGGGAAAACTGGCTGACCACATGCAGAAGATTGAAACAGGACCCCTACCTATCACCTTACACAAAAATCAACTCTAAATGAATCAGAGACCTAAATGTAAAACCTCAAACTATAAGAACCTAGAAAATGCAGGAGACACCCTTATGGAAATTGGAACTGGCAACCAATTCCTGATCAAAACCCCAAGTGCCCATGCCATAAGAGATAAGATAGACAAGTGGGACCTCATCAAACTGACGAGCTTCTGCAAAGCCAAAGAAACCATCAAGAGAGCGGGGAGACAACCCACAGAATGGGAAAAAATACTTGCCAACTGTATATCTGACTAACATCTAGGATCTGCAAGGAACTCAAATGCGCCAAAAGGAAAAAAAACAAACAGCCCCATTAAAAAGTGGGCCAAAGACATGAATACACACTTCCCAAATGATGATATACAAGTAGCCAACAGACACATGAAAAAGTGCTCGGCCTCACTCATCGTCAGAGAAATCCAAATCGAAACCACAGTGAGACACACCTCACCCCAGCAAGAATGGCCATCATCAATAAAACAAACAACAACAGATGCTGGTGAGGACGCGGAGAAAAAGGAAGGCTTCTACACTGCTGGTGGGAGTGCAAACTAGTGCAACCTCTTTGGAAGACAGTGTGGCGATTTCTGAAAGAACTAGAAACTGACCTTCCATGTGACCCAGCAATCCCCCTACTGGGACTATACCTGGAGGAACTCAAATCACTGTACAAAAAAGATACCTGCACACGCATTCTTATTGCAACACTATTCACAGTAGCAAAAACATGGAACCAACCATGCTGCCCACTGAAACTGGACTGGATTTTTTAAAATGTGATACATATACACAATGGAATATTATGAAGCCATAAAGAACAAACATCTGGACTTTGCAGCAACTTAGACAGATTTAGAGTCCATCATACTCAGTGATCTATCACAGAAACAAAGAATTGAGTACCACATGTTCTCACTCATAAGCGGACCTTGAACAATGATCATAATACTATAAGAAAGGGACTGGCAGTAGTGGGAAACTGCTGGGGTGGGGGGGAACACCTCATCAACAAGGGTACCTACATAACGAACATTTATCTACCTAATCCTGAATTGTACTTACATCTTTAAAATAAAAACATTTTTTTAGAAACAAAAGAAATGAAGAAACAGCAATGGTCATAAGACATGTGGTCATTAGTAATCAATAGTGGGGAAAAGATAATAAAATGTATGTTTATTATAAATAATAGATGAAAACTCTGCCTAAATGAACAGGTTTCCGGTGGCTGCACACACACAGCCTGTTCCCTGCTCCCATGGCCTCAGGATAAAACTCCTTCCCTCTCCCAGCGCCCCGTCTCTGGTGTTGGGAGTGACAGCGGCAGCGGCGCAGCTTGTTGGATGGGGCCACCACAGAAGGACCTGGTCCCTTCCCGGCCTGAGCCACGTTCACATTCTTTTCACTCTCTCCAGCTAGTAAGTAACTGATGGGAAACGCAATGACACTTGAGACAGTCAAGACAGTAGTGCAATTTCACTTCCATGTGTCCCAGACAAAAGGTTTTAAGAAGGTTCCGACTATGATCTGTAGTAGGAAATACACTTGACATTGTGACCAAGCATAAGTAAGTTTCATCCTATTTTGTATTCACTCTTACTGTGCACAAGGGACGCCTGATATCTGCTGCATGTGTTTTGAAAATCAGATTATGCTCGCTAGATTACGCAGGCAGCTTCACAGGTGACAGCAGCCCTGAGGGGACCAGCCATTCCTCCAGGCACAAGGACAAGGGCGGTGCCAAGCCCAGGGGCACGAGAGTGCTGCCCGTCACCCCCTCTGGCTTCCTCCCAACGCTCGGGCCTCCTCTTCGGAGTCACTGCCTTAGGACAGCCTTCTCCGTCCACTCCCAGAACAGGCCAGGGTCCCCTGGCACATCTCCTCCTGTCGTAGGACCCATCCTCTCCGCAGGCACTTACCAGGAAACCAGACATAAGGCGGCCCTAGCTGGAGCTCCCCCCTCGCAGACGTCACCGCTGCCTATGCCCTCGCTCCCTTCCTTCTAGAAGACCCGCCCAGCAGGGATCCAGCCAGCGCGTGACCCTGAGCCTGCCGCTGCCTTCGCCTGCTGTTTGTGATCTAAGAATCCAGCAAGCAGGACAGAGTGCCAGGTGAGGCCCCTCTGTGCAAAGCTCTCCACGGAGTCTTCTTGCAGGATCTCCTCCCTCCAAGAAGCGCCCAGGGTTTGCTGGGCCTGGAGCACGACCCCATGGTGAGAGACCTACATCAAGCCCTCACCCTCTTCCTGAAGGCCCTAAGCACCCGCAGAGGCCGCAGGAACCTTGGGGCGAGCGACTCCATTTTAAAGGGGGACAAGTGCACAATCCCCCAAGTGTGTCACACGTTCCCAGCACTGCGGCAGATACTGCACTGGCCCGAGCTCCCTGCACCCCATGGCTTCCCTATTCGCGTGATGGACACATTGCACAAAGTTCTGTGTTCACTCCTGGTGCAGGAAGATGCTGGTTATCAACCAGGAAAAAACTGTCTCAAGTACACCCGGGGCTTTACAGAATCATTTAAATGCCAATTAGTGGGATGATGATCAAGAGAGCCCTGATTCCTAAGTGAGGAACAGAGTGAAACACCTTCACATGAAAATAACATTGTTTCTGTGTCCTGCCTTATTCTACACCAAAGTCCTGCAAGACGGGGGAAGGGAAGCCCAACCCCGGCGAGGCCACATCAAAAGATGCACTCAAAGAGCCAGAGAGTTAATCCAGATGTTAAACCTTCTGGCTCATGTGCTAACTTAATTTGGACTCTTCAAACAGCACGTGTTTGGGAATAAACATTAAGAAAGTCCAGGGCCGGCACATGGTGGCTCTCACCTGTTGTCCCACCACTTTGGGAGGCCAAGGTGGGAGAATTGTTTGAGGTCAGGAGTTCAAAACCAGCCTGGGCAAATAGCAAGATCCTGTCTCTACAAAAAATTGAAAAATTAGCCAGACATAGTGGCACACGCCTATGGTCCCAGCTACTCAGGAGGCTGAGGCAGGATTGCCTGAGCCCAGGAGGTCAAGGCTGAGGTAAGCTGAGATGGTGCCACTGCACTCCAGCCTGGGTGACAGAGAACTTGACTCAAAAACAAAAAACAAAAAACCAAGAATAGAATGTCTAAAGCTTGCACCTGAGCACGCGCGCGCACACACACACACACACACACACACACACACACACACAACCCACTGGAGCAAAGTCTCAAAAACCTTTGAACTATAAAAAAGGCTCCCACCACCTTAGCCCTTAGGCCCTGGGCACTTATGAGCATTAAGTAATCCCATCTTCTTCTTCTTTTCATTTTACTTTGTTTTTAG